CCAGTCTGGGATTGAACTCACAGAGATCCACCTGCTTCTGCTTCCAGAGTGCTGGGATTAATGGCATGTACCACATGCCTAACCAAGGCAACGCTTGCAAAAGAAAGAATTTAATTAGGGGCATGAACATTTAGTCCATGATCATCACGTCAGGAAGCAGACAGATGTGTTACTAGGACAATAGTTTAAAGCTTTATATCCTGATCTACAGAGAAAGAGAGAGAGAGAGAGAGAGAGAGAGAGAGAGAGAGAGAGAGAGAGAGAGAGAGAGAGAGAGAGAGAGAGAGAGACTGGGCCTGGTGTGGGTGTTTGAAACCTCTACACCTCTTAATTCTTCCCAAACAGTTTCATCAACTGAGAACCAAGCATTTAAACATATGAACCTATGAGGGCTATTCTGATTCAAACCATCACACTGTGTTCATTCCCAACAAATACATCAAATTAAATATATGCCATTCTCTGTAAGACAGTGCTCAGCTATTACCTCAGAGGAACCTGGCAGAGAGCGTTAAAGCAGTCCATAAATTAGGTGGTTCACTCCTTTAATCCCAGTGCTCAGGAGGCAAAGGCAGGTGGATCTCTGAGTTTGATGCCACCCTAGTCTACAGAGTGAGCTCCAGGACAGCTAGGCATACAAAGAGAGACCTTGTCTTGAAAATCCAAAACAAATAAAAATATAAAGATCTATAAGTCAGGGTTGACATGGCTTAGCAGTAAAGGTGCTTGCTGCCAAACCTCATGATAGGAATTTGAACCCCAGGATCTGTGTAAAGGTGGGAGAGGAGGCCTGAGTCCACAAAGTTGTCCTCTGATTTTTACACATATGTGTCCCTACCACAGATAATAATAATAAATAAAGTTTAAAAAGAGAAATACATAAGGCATTCCACATAAAACCTGCAAATAATATAATATGGGTTGTGTGTTAGCAAAATTTGTCAAAGATCAGTTAATTGAACAATTGCATTTTAAAGATAATATTACTAACATTGTAGAAAGTGGTGCAGTATGGGGCTGGAGAGATGGCTCAGCGGTTAAGAGCACTGATTGTTCTTCCAGAGGTCCTGAGTTCAAATCCCAGCAACCACATGGTGGCACACTGAATGAGATCTGGTGCCCTCCACTGGCATGCAGGCAGAAGACTGTATACACAATACATAAATAAAATATTAAAAAAAAAAAGTGGTGCAGTATGTTCTTGCTCCTCAGTGTTTGGAAGTAGAAAACTTGCCAAATCTGTGGGTAGCACAAGACTTGTCAGGATATTTCTAGACAATGACCAAACTCATCTCCTGAATTTAACAACCTGCAACTGTGCCCATCTCTAACCTCCACATTCTTGTGGTGTGTGTGTACACATACACATCATACATACATACATACATACATACATACATACGTACTACGTACATACATACAGTACACACAAATGCATGTAAAATAAAATGTTTGCCAAGGTAATTTCCAGGTTTGCATTAAGGTTCTTTATTTATTCAGACATGTCTTCTGTAGCCCAAGCTATCATGAATGTCCTATAAAGAGAACCAAAGATGATCCCATCCTCCTGTCTCTGCTTCCTTCCTGAGTGCTAGGCTTGCAGGGTGTACCATCATGCCAGGTTTATGTGATATGGTTCTGAGAGCCAATCAGATTGTGTGTTAGGCAAGCACTCTGCCAACTGAGCACAGCCTCAGTCCTGCACTGAGATTTAGCAATGGAGGGATATCTTGGTGATTTCTGCAAAAGAGCTTTAGAGAGTCAAAGAGTGTTGGTTAAAGTTGCCTCTCGTCCTGCTCTGTTTTCCTGGGACACCACATGGATCACCGTCAGTCACAGTAGAAGAAAGTGAGTCTCCTTCTAGCTCTTGCTGAGACACTTGCATTTGAAGATGTAGGAACAGTGCCCAGCCAAGGACACTGAGCCAAAAGAACAGGGAGGGGTCCCGAAGTACCTCACACTAAGCATGCTAAATTTAATTGTTAATGCATATGTATGATTTATGTTTTGTTTCTGAGACAGGGTTTCTCTATGTAGCCCTGGCTGTCCTGGAACTTGCTCTGTAGACCAAGCTGGCCTCGATCTCAGAGATCGGCTTGCCTCTGCGTCTGGCTCCCAAGTGCTGCATGTACCACCACTACCAGGCTATTAAAAAAAAAACAACAAATGCTGGTGTCACAGCCCCCCCTCCTTTTTTTTCTTTTGGTTTTACGAGACAGGGTTTCTCTGTATTGTTTTGGAGGCTGTCCTGGAACTCACTCGGTAGACCAGTCTGGTCTCGAACTCACAGAGATCTGCCTGCCTCTGCCTCCGGAGTGCTGGGATTAAAGGCATGCACCACCAACGCCCGGCAATGGACTGTCTTCTACGAAGTTTCTGAACAGATCCAGGGCAGCACACAGCAGCAATCATAAAAGAATATTTCTTAGCCTAGTCTAGTGACTCATGTGTAGCTCAGAGCTTGGGAGGCAGTGGAAGAGGCAGGAGGACTGTCATAAATTCCAGACTAGACTGGCCTACACAGTGAGATATTGTCTCATGAAGAAGAGGGGAGCCAGGCGTTAGTGGCGCACAGGTTTAATCCCAGCACTTGGGAGGCAGAGTTCGAGACCAGCCTGGTCTACAAGAGCTAGTTCCAGGACAGGCTCCAAAGCCACAGAGAAGCCCTGTCTAGAAAAAACCAAAAAGAAGAAGAAGGAGAAGAAGAAAGAGGAGGAGGAGGAGGAGGAGGAGGAGGAAGAGGAGGAGGAGAGAAGAAAAGAAGAAGGAGGAGGAGGAGGAGGAGGAGGAGAAGAAGAAGAAGAAGAAGAAGAAGAAGAAGAAGAAGAAGAAGAAGAAGAAGAAGAAGAAGAAGAAGAAGAAGAAGAAGAAGAAGAAGAAGAAGAAAGGAGGAAGAGAGGATGTGGTGCTGGGGAGAGGTCTTAGGCATTAAGAGTGAATACTGCTTTTGCAAATGACTGGAGTTCAGTTCCCAGCACTCACATCGGCAATTCACAACTGATTATAACTCCAGGGAATCTAACACCTTGTTCTGGACCTGATGGGCAACTGCACTTACACACACATACACACAATTATCAATAAAATTTTTTGCCGGGTAGTAGTGGCACACACTTTTAATCTCAGCACTCAGGAGGCAGAGGCAGGAGGATCTCTGTGAGTTTGAAGTCAGCCTGGTCTACAGAGCGAGTTCCAGGACAGGCTCCAAAGCAATACAGAGAAACCCTGTCTTGAAAAACCAATAAGTAAGTATAAAATTTAAAATAAGTATATACATGCAAATACATAGAAATATAACAGGGCCCCAGACCTTAACACAACTGACTCCACGATGGAAATACCATTCAGACTGTAAAACTCAGCACACAGAGTTTTCTCCAATGGTATGTCACAAGGTGTGTCAACCACATTCCAGGTAAGCCCTATGTTCAACAAAAAGCCAACTCAATAGCATTTTTGTGGACTTTATGTTCCATTTTCTTTTTCTTGACATTTTTGTCTTATTGATCTTTTGTTTATTTTTTTCTTTTTCTGTTTTTGAGGGGGGTTTGTTTCTTGTGTTTCTGTATTTGTTTCTTTTCTGAGAGAACATGATCAAAATATGATGTATGGAAAACAATTTTCAGTTAAAAACAATAAAGAAAAAATTTTGAGAAGATATGCAAGGAAGCAGAAGCCCCAAGCTAAGCATCACCACCAGCATCATTATTAGTACCAGTGTCATCTGCTGATTTAATATCAGCATCAGCACCAGTATCCTCAGCAGCATCATTTTCATCATCATACCATCATCAGCAGCAGCAGCAGCAGTAGCAGCAGCAGCAGCAGCAGAGGCAGCTTATATTATGGAAGAAAGCAGTGAAACTCGATCTGGGCACATTTTCAAAGCAGGTGTTTCCAATGCAGCCAAATGAGGCTGCACATAGAATTTTGTGTTCTGACAAATTGCCATGGTAATCACACTGTTCTTCATTTGACAGCTTATTATCTAGCAGTCAAAGTAATTGGGGGAATGTTTGTTTCTTTGTTACATGGTTCTAAGAGTGGAAATATCAGGGAAAGGGATAGAAGGGGGTAGGGGCATCACTCTTCAAGGCCTGGAAGAGAAAGAGGTAAAGAGAGAGGTAGAGATGGAGAGGAAGAGGGAGAGAGGGATAGGGGCTGAGGGAAGGGAGGGCAGGCACAAAGAAGGGAGGAGGCAGAGCAGAAGAGACGAGAGGAAAAGAGAAGGTGGAAGAAGACAGAGTCACCGTTGCTGCTGATAGGAAAAGATTAGAGGGTGTGGAAAGGCAGAGGCTTAGGGTCTCTGAGGGCATCACCCAACTGAGAGGCTTTCCAGGAGAGAAGAAGCTGGGCCAGAGCCTAATCAGGGCTTGTGGTTGGCAGGTTCCAAAAAGAACATCCCTGTCTTTCCTCAGTGAGTTAAGGTTGCAGGCAGTTTCCGTTAGAGCCTCAGAAACCCCTACAGGGAGCAGCTGTACTTCAGTGTAGAGACAGCATGCAGATACTGTCCTCTCTCTGATCTGTGGCTGTTGCATGTCCAGGAGGTCCAGGTCATCTACTGGAGGGGGGAGATTCCTTGTCTGACTTGAGCTTCATGTTTCAATTTCAAAGCACATTCTTGATATTTCCTGGAGAAATAAGGGTATGACCATCAGGACAATGGAGAGCAACAGACACTGTTCTGAACTTCACTTTCCATATGATGCTCTTCCCTGTGTCTGCTGTAGATGGTTAAGAAAGGGGCCGATAAATTGCTGAGCTGTCATTGACTTGATTCATTATTTTATGTGTATGAGTGTTTTTGTCTATACGTATATATGTGCACTACATGCATGCTTGGTGCTTGAGGCCTGGAGGGGGTGTTAGATCCCGGGGACAGCTATGGAGGCCTGGAGTTACAGCTATGGGCTGCTAGGTGCTGGGAGTCTAACCCACGGGGCCTCTGCAAGAGCAACAAGTGTTCTTAACTGCTGAGCAAACTCTGCAGCTCCAAGGACTTGTTTTAAGGATCTTTGGCCTAATTCAGCTGCCTGCCTGGGTCAATCTGAGAGCTCTACCAGTTCCTTTTGGACTTCAGGTATGGAACTAGGAGATCCTAAGAGAACAATGGCTCAGTTGGGCCCAACCTGGTTGCAAAACCTTCTTTTGGATTTGCAGGACCAAGAAGGTTTGATGCTTGTGGACTATGTCCCAACTTGGCTCATCAGTCCCAAACAAGGTGATGATGGAGGAATGGGGGTGGGGGTTGGTGATGGAGCATTGTCTTGTAGACAGGATTGCCCTGCAAGTGTGTGAAGAAAGTCTATTTACACAGAGTGGAGAGCAAAGGCCTTGACAAGGAAGGAGAGCCCAAGGCAAGGGAGTCCCAGTGACATTGACTAAAATCCTGGGTTGACCTCTGCCTGAACCAGGAAGCGTTTGCTTGGATACGAGGTCTCCTAAAGGCCCGTGTGCTGACGACTTGGGCTGCCATATAGCAGTGCTCAGAGGTGGAGTTCTGGGAGGTGAGTGGATCCCATGCACTCTGGTTTATTCACAGATAGATTCTTACATGGTTTAATGAGTTGATGGGAGGTGATGGAAACAGGGAGATGGAGTGTGGTTGGAGGAGGCTGGCCACTGGAGGTGTGACCTTAAAGAGGGTGTTCTGTTCTTTCTTGCTTCCTCCTTGCCAGTGGTCTACCATGAGATGAACAGCTTCGCTCTACCACGAGCTCCCCACAGTAACGGTCTGTCTTGTCACACACCCAGAAACAATGGAGCCGATCTTCCATGGACTGAAACTTCTGAACCCATGGGCCAAGAGACATGCTTCTGCTTTTGTGTTGATATTCTGCCCCCCCCACCTTCTCTCTGTGACTGGTGGTTCAGTGGTTAAGAGCACTGGCTGCTCTTCTAGAGGTTCCAGGTTCTATTCCTACACAATCTGTTGTTGCTCCGGTTTCAGGGATCCACTGTCCACTTCTGGACTCTGCAGGCACCAGTCATCCATGAGTGCATACATATAGGCAATACCTATGTACATAAAAACTTTTTAATATTTTTTTCTGAGACATTGTCTGTCTACATAGCTCTGACTGTCGTGGAACTTACTATGTGGAACAAGTTGGTCTCAAATTCACAGATATGCAACCCTCCAAATGTTGTGTGTGCCACTGTATCTGGCTTTAATTTTTTTTTATTTTGATGTGCATTGGTGTTTTGCCTGCATGTATGTTTGTGTGAGGGTATCAGATCTTGGAGTTACAGGCAGTGTGAGCTGCCATGTGAGTGCGGGGAATTGAACCCCGGTCCTCTGGAAGTGCAGTCAGTCCTCTTAACTGCTGAGCTATCTTTCCAGCCCCCTAAATTTTTTTTTTTAAAGAATGAGGACTGGGGATGCAGCTTGGATGGTAAGGTATAGGGAGATATTTGCCTGAGATCCCATAACAGTGGCCACGCCTTTTGGGCATGGTTACAGGTGCATCGTGACCGGTTTAAGAGGAAGGATCAGAAATCCTGGATTCCCTTAGGGTGGCAGAGAGCATTGGGGAACAGGGTCTGTCTCCTTGGAGCAGGACCGCCGCTGAAGTTATTTATTGTTTTCCGTGTAAGTTATTTACTAATAAACTCCCTTCAATTATACTGGTCTGGTGAATCCTAATTTCTAAGCCTTCAGTAAAGTTCTTGCCTAGCATGTATAAGATCACAGAATCTATTCTTAGCAACACACACCAGGTGTGGTACGAATGTCTATAATTCTAGCACTTAGGAGACAGGATTTCCCACCAGCTTGAGGCCAGCCTTGTCTACACAGGGAGTGCCAAGCCAGACCAGGAACTATTTCAAAAAACCAAACCAATCCAAAACAAAATTAATAAACCCACATTTTGTTGTTGTTGTTAATACTTTGAGACAAGCTCTTACTAGGCATCTCAAGCTGGTTCAAATTCATGAGCCTCTGCCTCCTATGTGTTGAGAGTAATACATCTTTTTGTTTGTTGTTTTTTGAGACAGGTTTCTCTGTGGCTTTGGAAGCTGTCCTGGTACTAGCTCTTGTAGACCAGGCTGGTCTCGAACTCACAGAGATCCGCCTGCCTCTGCCTCCCAAGTGCTGGGATTAAAGGCATGCGTCACCAAAGCCCGCAGAGTAATACATCTTTTTTTTTTTTTTTTTGGTTTTTCGAGACAGGGTTTCTCTGTGGCTTTGGATGCTGTCCTGGAACTCACTTTGTAGACCAGGAGAGTAATACATCTTAAGGATGGAAAATAGACACATTAAGATTAGGAAAGATGAGGGGGCATGGTAGGATGGGAGGGAGAGGGAACTGGGATTGATATGTAAAATAAATTTTTTTTGTAAATAATTTTTTTAAAAGATTAGGAAAGATGATTCTGATTTTTGTGCTAAACCTTAAAAATCCTCTTGTGAGAGTACATGCATATTTGTTGCATACTGTAACACTCAGCCACGGGTTCTACCAACAGGGTGCAGTCCTTTTCAGTGTGTCAGTTTGATAGAGGTGGAATGGGACTTTTTCTCCCTTGAATATTCACATGGGAACTTATTTTGACACTAGAATATGGGAGAACATGTGTGTGATTTTTTTTATAGGCCAATCTAGCCCACTAGACATGATCAATGGCCCCAAATTTCTCTGGACCAGTTAGGCCCCTAGACTTCAGGGACTGCCCAGTTTATCTTTATGTTGCCATCAAAAGAAGTCATACTGGTTGCTTTAAATCATTTTGTTGTCATTATTTCATTTTCTTTTTTAGTGACAGAACTCAAGGCCTTGTACATGCTAGGCAAGTGCTTTACCATGATACTTTGGCCCTAAGGTTTTTGTTTTGTTTTAGACAGGATCTCAATATGTAACTCAGGCTGGGTTGGATTGGCAGGCACCACAGGTAACCCAATCCACTTAATTTTGCAATCAGGAAGCGAAAGCTCACTCTAATGCTAGCCCTGATTTCTCATCTCACAGCACATCATGTCTTCCACACTATTCAAAAATTATTTACCTAGTTTTTGAGACAAGGGCAGGATTACAGGTGTGCCACCATGCCTAGAAGTTAAATATTTATAAGCTTCTTTTGGTTGCTAACACCATAGATCAACCAGTCAGCTTAAATAAAAATGCAATGAGAGGTTCCTGGGGCTTGTGGAGGGGTAGGGAGAGGAGTCTGACCTCTGGGAATCTCAGCAGCAGCTTCCTTAATTCCTGTTTCCTACCAGGAAATGGCTGTGGACAATTCCATGATACAAATCATCAGTTCAGGTTCTCAGGACAGCCAGCTAGACTGTCCTTTGAACCACGCTTCGGGCTTTAATGTCTTTATGTTCAGGACTTGCAGCTAAGAAAGGGTCCAGGCAGGACTAGACACATAGGAATAGTTCACTTGAACTGAAGGAATATCAGAGCTAACCTGCTAACTGGAAATGGTTACACATCCTGGCTTGGGCCTATTTTTTTTTAAACCACGGTGTCTTTCCTTTCAAACCGTCCTGCAGCTACTGCATCAAGGCTCCTTTATATAAACACAATCTGTAGAGCAGGATTCCATGCCTGTAACACTGTACATTTTGACAGAACCATAGTCAAGCATTTGCACCAGGTCTTTGAGCAGGCCCCGGTGTGTGTGTGTGTGTGTGTGTGTGTGTGTGTGTGTGTGTGTCTGTCTGTCTGTCTGTCTGTCTGTATACCTATTTATTATTAGTATTACAAAAGTTGGCCTGTAGATAAGGATGAGGGCAAGTGAGGTGAGGTGGCTCACACCTGTAATTCCAGCGCTTGTGAGGTTGAAACAGAAGGATTAAAAGTTCAAGATCAGCTTGGGCTCTGGAATGAATTCTAGGCCATCTTTGGCTACCCGAGATTTGTCTCAAAAGGGGATGGGAGTGGGGAATGTATTAAAATAAGAAAAAGTCTTAGGGCCTGAGTACCCGGGCGTTGCAAACAGAGAGGAGAGAATCGGGACACATGATTTGGGCCTGGCCCAGGTGCTTATAGGCACAGGTCGCACCTAGAGCTGAAGTCTGTTCCCGTGGGCGCTAGTAATGAGTGGGCGAGCGAGCTGGGGGTTCACAGCAGCGCCCCAGGCGCGGGCGGGGGCCCGGCAGGCGCGCGGGGAGGTGCAGGCTTCAGGCTGGGGCGGCGCCTTCGCCTCCGGCTGCCGTAGGACCGCGGGGCCGCCGCTCCATCGGCGACATCTTGGTGGAGGACGCGCTGAGGAAAACGCTGGTCACCCTGTAGCGGCTGCACCACGATCTCTACTGACCTCCGGAGCGCGCAGGATCGAACGCGCAGGAGGTAAGGCTGCTGCTGCTCACGGAGACCCCACTCCCTGCCCAGGAGGGTGCCTGGGGACCCAGATTCCCGGCCTCGCCACCCTGAGTCCGTTAGTCTCCACTTCTACCCAGTGGAGCAGACCCCAGATTGACACCCAAGAGTATACCACTCCTCGTAGTTAGGTCGCGTCTCCTGGACTCCCTCCTGGAACCCCGACCCCGCTGCTACCTGAACCACAGGGCCCTCTCGGCCCGAGACTCCGCCCCCTTCCCCAGAATTACCCCGTCACAGACACGCCCCTTTTTGCCCCAGCCTCCGCCCTCCGGTCCGGTCCGGGCGGGGCGGGGCTCCGGGTTTGAACTGCGCGGCGGGCCGGGCCTCTGAGTCGGGTCGGGCCCATAGGCGGCGGCGCGGAGCAGTCAGTCTGCGGCGCTCGACACCATGTCCCCGGGCAGTGGGGTGAAGAGCGAGTACATGAAGCGCTACCGAGAGCCGCGCTGGGACGAGTATGCGCCGTGCTACCGCGAGCTGCTCCGCTACCGCCTGGGCCGCCGGCTGCTGGAGCAGGCGCACGCGCCATGGCTCTGGGACGCCTGGGGCCCCGACAGCCCCTCAGACAGCTCAGCTTCACCCAGTCCGGCGCCCAGGGGCGCATTAGGGGAGCCCTCGGCGCCCTCCGCGCGGGAGGAGGAACAGACGGTGGGGGAGCGCGGCGCGGAGCTGCGGGGCGCGGAGGTTGGGGACGCGGAAGAGCAGGACACAGTGCTACCAGGTATGGGCACGGGGGGTCACTCCGATGACTGAGCTGCGCGTTTCTCTCCGCCATGGACACGCGCTTCCTGTTTTGGTTTGGTTTGGTTGGGGTTGACAGAATCCGCTTGCTGAACGAAGAGGGGGTGGGTGCCGGCCGCGTCTACGCTCTCTCATCTCTGATTTCCCTAATTTGGTGACTCTTGGCGGAGCCTTTATGACCTCTAAGTGCCCACTCTTCCCACCCCACCTATCCCCTGGTCAGGGATCCTTGGTCGCAAGGCAGTGGCCAGCTCAGTCCTGGATCCACCAGATGGCGGATCTGTTTATTTCTGTTCATCCCTCTTTCCGAGAGGAGCTTTTCATTCCAAAGATGACCCGCGAAATTAAGCCCCCTGGGCTGCCAAAATGGGGTCATGATTGTCTGTGTGAGCTCCTTGGCCTGGCCGCGCTGTTTCTTAAGAATGGTGTGCGTGTGTTTGTGGACGAACCCTCTTTGTATACGCTGGTGCCAGCCTCACATCCTGGTAAGGTTGTGAGCCACTTTTCCCGCTGTTGCAGCGTGGGTCTGTCAGCAGAGAGGCCTTGAGGGTGCCTGGGTCAGGGCGGTGCTTTAGCACAACAGGAGATCACTATGGTTGCCTGCCACCTCCTCGAGATCTTAAGAGAGTCTAGTAATAAAAATGTTATTACTCAGTCACTCGCCCAGACATATATTTTTCTCACCCGACCTTCAAATATTCGTAAGATTGGGCCTTTGTTTTTAATCTCAGTTTTGTAAACAAAGACATGGGAGCTTGTGATCCGTGGTCAGAGTCTGAAAGGATCCGGTAGCTTTGCAAGTCTTGGTTGCCCTGTTTGCCTATTTTCAGTTCCTGCATGACGGGACTGCCTCCTCGTCATCGTCATCGGGTCGCCTTTGACGACCAGTCCTGATGCTTCAGTGATGTGGTTAGAAATTACAGTGGCAGAAGGTTGGGGGCGGGGGGGGGGTAGGCGGTGCTAGGAGCTTGTCTCCCAGTTATTCCTGTGCAAACTGAGCCCTTGCTAACTATGAGGTTTATTTTTCGGAATGAGTAACAGACTTTTCTTTTTTCCCCTCTGTGTTTTGATGAGGTTACCCGCTATCTGTGTGTGCAATATGAAAACTGTTGACAGCACTTTAGTGTGCTTGGTGCCCAGGCTTGCCTGCTTAGGAGTGCCCGGACTTCATGATTATTTGGGTTTCCATGGAGATACTGAGTCTTCCTCAAAATTTTTGGTGTGTAGGCATTAGGGAATATAGAAGATGTGTCCTGCTTTGGATTCTCCATCACCAGTTCTTTTGCAGGACCCCTGGGGGCCAGTATCAATATGAGAAATGTTTCTGGTGGATGTTTTATATACTAGACTGGTGAGCCACTGATTTGCATTCCTCTAAAATACATTGCCTTAGTTTTACTACAAGCCACTTTTTTTTTTTTCAAGACAGGGTTTCTCTGTGTAGACCTGGCTGTCCTGGAACTTACTCTGGACACCAGGCTGGCACCAAACTCGGAGATCTGCCTGCCTCTGCCTCCGCCTCCTTAGTGCTGGGATTAAAGGTGTGAGCCACCACTGTCCGACTAAAAGGCATTTTTACATGAAGAATTTTGTTAGCTCTGTGAAGCTTATTACAAAGTCATGACACCTGCCAGCAGCTGCCTACTTTTTAGCTGACCTGCTTCTAGCTCCTCTGCTTTTTCCCTTTTTCCTTTTGTGGTACTGGAGATTGAATTCAGGACCTTGGGCATGCTGGGCAAACGTTCTACCACCTAACTACATCTCTAGCTCTCTTTGTATCTTTCGTTTTGAGATAGGGTCTCACAAAGCCTCACTGGCCTTGAACATCCTCTGTAGCTCAGGCTGGCCTCAAGTGTATGATTCTTCTGTTTTAGTCTTCAGAATGAGTAGCTGGTATTATAGGCCAGCGCTACCAAGCCCAGCCACACTTTATTTGTATTCTTCCAGGTCTTAACTGTGGTGCCCAGGTTGGCCTCAAACTAGAATTAAGCCATCCTCCTGGCCCAGTTTCCTGAGTAACTCAGCCCACAGATGAGCATCCTCACACTTGGCTGGTATTTACTTCCATTTACCTATGTTGACACTAATTGATATTTCCCCCCAGGTTTTTTTACTTTTTTTAACCTTGACTTTTATTTCTACTCTCCTAATACACACGTTTGTTTTCACACATTCTTCATAGCCATCATAGTCTGTGTGATACTGGGCCCATGGGAATGGACAAGTGCTCAAAGCTGACCCACTTTGTTTCTCTGGCTCTTTCTCTCTCAATGTAGCCAATACAGTGGTTTGCCATCACACTCACCTTAACTCATCCCTCGGGGCCACCGACCTACTTCTGTTTGGCCTGCATGCCGTCATTGTGGCAGGTGTGGCCTGACACTTGTTGTCTAAAGAGAGGCCTTGGCATTGCATAAGCACGTGCAGCTTTTCTCTCACAGGTGGAAATCACTGTCAGGTTTGACTTACCTTCTCATGGTAGACATCACCTAGCAGCTTAAGAAAGGATGAGTGGAAAGTTGAATTTCTGAGACCATTGTTTAAAAAACAATCGTAATTTTCGTGTTTGTGATGATGGTTCATTGTTTCTAAAAAAACATCTTGAGGCATTGTTCCATTGCTGTGACTTCTGAGTCTTTTGTTTGTTTGTTCTTAAAGACTGGGTTTTAGTGTGTGTGTGTGTGTGTGTGTGTGTGTGTGTGTGTGTGTGTGTGTGTTGCCCCGGCTGTCCTGGAAGTCACTCTGTAGACCAGGTGCACCACTGCCACCTGACTTGACTTCTGATTCTTGAACCATACCTTTAACTGCCCCAAGAGGGGCTGTTAGAATCTTTTGTCTGTCCTGACTCTCAGAAATTGATGTAGGTCACCCGAAAGTCCCTACAACCAAACTCTTAAATTTTTTCTTTTCATTTTTAAATTTTATTTGTGTGTTTTACTTGTATGTATGTATGTATGTATGTATGTATCTGCACCACGTACATGCAGTGCCCTTGGAGGCCCAAGAGAGAGTTGTATCCCTTGGGACTGGAGATGGTAAACCTTTATATGGGTGCTTGGAATAGAACCTGGGTTCTCAGGAAGAACAGCCAGTGCTCTTAACTGTTGAACCACTCTTCAGTCCCCAATTTTCCATTTTAATTCTGGGGGAACTTCTATTTATTTCATTTTGTTTCTCCTTTTTTTGGGGGGGGCAAGGTTTTATGGTGCTGGAAGTGGAATTTAAGACCTTGTATATCTAGGAAAGCACTGGGCAACTGAGCTTCTACTCCATTCTTTATTCCTTTCTTTCTTTTCTTTTTTTTGGGGGGGGTTCAAGACAGGATTTCTTTGCATCTTTCTCAAGCTAACAGAGATCCACCTTCCTCTGCCTCCCCATTGCTCTTTCTTTTCTTTTTTTCCCCTCGAGATAGGGTTTCCCTGTGTAGCCCTGGTCATCCTGGAACTAGCTGTGTAGATCAGGCTGGTCTGGCATTCATAGAGATCCACCTGCCTCTGCCTCACAAGTGCTGGGATTAAAGGCGTGCACGACGACCACCTAGCCTTCCTTTCTTTTAGAAGTTAAAAGAATGGTAAATAAAAAGTACACACATTTATAGTTCACCTTGTGATGTTTCCACAGGTGTGTATACAGTGTGTAAGGCTGAAATCAAATTAAGCATGCATGCCATTTCAAACACTTGGCAGCTCAGTGAGTAGAATGCTTGTTTACATTCGAGAAGCCCTGGGTTCCATCCTCAACACAAACAGGTACATGCTTTTATTTCAACACTTAGGTTGAGGCTGGAGGCTCAGAAGTGAGTTCCAGGTCAGCCTGGGATACTTGAAGTCTTGTTTCAGTGGGGGAAAAAAGTATCAAGTTTATTGTTTGTTTGCATAATATTTTTCTTCTTCTTTCCTGTTTTGAAGACAGTTTTCCTATGTAGCCCACCCAGGCTGGTCTAAACTCTGACTCCTCCATGGGCTGGGATGACAGGAGGGCACTACCCCCTGCTTGCAAAAGTATTAGGTTCTTGACAAGGACACATTGTATTTTTTTCTTGTAAAAGATATTGTTAGAGAGTTTTGTTTCTCTTTGTGTGTTTAGCCGAGTATATCCTCCCCTTTGTGTTTCTGTTTCTTTTTGCTTGTAATTCTGTATTGCTCACTGGAGGCCTTTTTTTTTTTTTTTTTCAAATGAATGGGATCTGTTGGCTTTTTTTTTTTTTCTTATTTGAGAAACGGCTATGATAAATTCCTTGTGTTATGTTGGAGGAGGGAGTGCTTGGTTAGTAGGAATTCTGTAACTTGCTACATATCTTGCTTTGAGAAATGGTGAAGACTGCCTCCAAATTTATTTTTTGTGATACTGGATATCCAACACGGGGCTTCTCTATGCTAGTGTGTCACCACTGGTCCATAGCAGTTAAAATGTCAGACTGCCAGCCTGTTAGGCTGTCTCCAGTTCCTTATTCCATAGTCACATTTTTCAACAACATTTTATTTTTGGTAAGTTTACATGTGCCTTATTTTAAACAACCTGTTTAAAGTTAGGAAAGTAATCCTGCCCAGTTTCCTATTCATGCCCGCCCCTCACTCTTTCTGATTCTTGTCTCTTCAGCATTTTTTTGGTGGGAGGCTGAAGCTTTCAGAAGATTCTTTTTCTTCTAGGTGTTCTCAAATCCAGTGGTGTGCCTTTCTCTCTCTTTTTCATTCATTGTACTGGACTTTTTGAATATGGAAGCTTCTTGAAGATCAAGATTTCCTAACACCACTTAAATTCATTTCCTCTGCTTCACAGTTCACTGCCTTTTTCTTCTCTCCACTCCACTTATTGAACCCCTCCCATCCCTCTTTTTCTCTCTGTCTTTGAGACAGTTTCACACTATAGTCCAAACTGATTTCACACTATAAAAAACTTCCTGACTCAGACTTCAGAATACTAGGATTATAGATTTGTCCCACTATGCACAGATTATTTTCTTTCTTTGTTGGCCCAAGC